AGAAAAAAAAGAAAAAAAAAAGAAAAAAAAAAGAAACAAAGACAGAAATAAAGAGAAAAACAAAAGGAAAAAGAAGAACAAACAAAAATAAAAAATAAAAATAAAAATAAAAAAATAAATAAAAGACAAAGACAAAGACAAACCAGAGGAAAGATAACATCTAGCCGCAGCAGGCCAGAGCAGACAAAAAAGGAGAAAAAAAAGAAAAAAAAAAGAAAAAAAAAAGAAACAAAGACAGAAATAAAGAGAAAAACAAAAGGAAACAAAAGAACAAATAAAAATAAAAAATAAAAAGAAAAATAAATAAATAAATAAAAGACAAAGACAAAGACAAACCAGAGGAAAGATAACATCTAGCCGCAGCAAGCCAGAGCAGACAAAAAAGAGAAAAAAAAAAGAAAGAAAAAAGATAAAAGAGAGAAACAAAGACAGAACTAAAGAGAAAAACAAAAGAAAACAAACAAAGAAACAAAAATAAAAAATAAATAAATAAATAAAAATAAAAATAAAAGACAAAGACAAAGACAAAGACAAACCAGAGGAAAGATAACATCTAGCCGCAGCAAGCCAGAGCAGTGTTTGGCGAGGTCCCCAATCAAAGCGAGAGCCGACTGCAGCACGGATGGGTTTGTATCGTTGCAGCATCTTTCTATAAGCAGCAGCAGCTGCAGCTGCTGCTGCTGCTGCTGCTGCTGCTGCTGCTGCTGCTGCTGCTGCTGCTGCTGCTGCTCTTGCTGCAGCTGCTGCAGCAGCGGCAGCATGTCGGCACCCAAACTCTCCGTTACTGAACTTATTACGTCGAGCGAACACTCAAGCGTTTCTCTATCAGGATATATACCCTATAAACAAAAAAAAAATAAATAAATTATATTTATTTATTTATTTATTTATTTATTTATTTATTTATTTGTTTATTTATTTTATTTATTTATTAAAAAATAAAAAATAGAAAAAAGAAACAAAACGAAAAGAAACAAAACAAAAAAACAAAAAAAATAAAAAAATAAAAAAAAGAAACAAAGCAAAATAATAAAATAACAAAACAAATAAAAAATAAAAAATAATAAAAAATAATAAAATAAAGAAACAAAACAAAGGAACAAAAAAACAAACAAAACAAATAAAATAAAATAAAAGATAAAACAAATAAAATAAAATAAAACAAAAGACAAAACAAATAAAATAAAATAAAATAAAATAAAACAACAAAACAAAATAAAACAAATAAAATAAAATAAAACAAAACAAAAAGAAACAAAACAAATAAAATAAAACAAAAGACAGAACAAATAAAATAAAACAAAAGACAAAACAAAA